GAAAAAAATGGTGCAGGTGGGGTAGGGGTGGGGGTGGGGCTGAAGAGGAAGAGAAGAAAAAACTGGATGCGGAGGGTGGGGGTCTTGAAGAATGAAGAACAGGGTGGAGAACCAAGAGAAAAAAAGAAAAGGAATCAAAATTATAAAATTTAAATTTATAAGATTAGAGTAGTACTGTATTTGTTTGTTCTATTGGTTTACTTGATGTTTTCGATGCAATTGTACCCGGGTTAGACATCTTGAAGTTTTTATTTTTGTAGGTACCTATAACCTGACCATCATTGTCTTGGCAGTATGTTTTGTTAATTGGAAAATGCTAAAGAGGCACCACGTGTGCCTCCAAGCATGCCACCCAATATATTTAACTTTTATTTTTTTTCAATTTTCCTTTTTTCTTAGTCTTTTCGTCTCCCTCCCCTAAAATTCCCAAATCTCCCTTCTCCAGCGCAGGTCTGCGGCAATCCCGAAGCCGGCATTTACGAGTGGGATTACGCGCGGTAGTCCAGCCCTCTAGCTCCAGCACCGGCAGCCCCACCCCTCCAGCTCCAGCGTCGGCAGCCCGGGAACCCCTCCAGCTCCAGCGCCGGCAGCCCCACCCCTGTCGGAACAGGTACTCACGCTAATTTCCCTTTCCTTGGTCTCTTTCTTGATCTCTCTACTGATAGTTTCAGTTTCCTTCGTGTTTTTAAACTGTGTGTTAATGTAGTTGTGGATTTGATAATGGTATGTTTGTGTAATTTCAAATCTCCATAATGCAGTTTCAGTTTGATGTTCTTTTTCATTGAAATTCGGTATTCCCAGTTTCTTTGAATGCTTGTTATTTTTGCTTAGTGTGTGAATTGTATGACATAGATTGTTAAGTTCTGTTATTTGAACTTCATATAACATTATTGTCTGTGAAAGAGGTCTGCTTGTTATTTTTGCTTGCTTTCTGTGAATTGTATCTCATAGACGATTAACTTCTCTTTATTGAACTTCATATAACATTATTGTCCGTGAAAGAGGTTTGCTTGTTATTTTTGCTTACTTTATGTGAATTGTTTCGCATAGAAGATTAAATTCTGTTAATTCAACTTCATATATGATTATTGTCTGTGTAGATATTTAACTTCTGTTAATTGAACTTCATTTCAGATGATGTCTTTGTTAATCCCTGTTAGTGCTCATTTTGGAGCTCAATACTCAGTTTGTTCTGACATCCATGAAGCCATCAACCAGACGATGAATTCTGGATCATTCCCTTGCAGGTGTGACAATTGTGGAGTGATGGTGCTTGCATTTCTAGAGTATTTGTTGGTGGGCTTACCATTAAGCCCGGACTGCAATTCTGAACACATGGCTGATTTCCGATGTCAATTTGCAGCTAGGTTATGGCTTGGAAGGAACACACCCAATATTTAGCATTTTTACTTTACAATTTTAGGGGTCTTTAATTTTTGTGAAAGACTTTGTAATGGTTTATGTGCTTTGTAATGTATTTTTGGGGGAAACACTTTAGATTTTTTTTTTGAAAGCTTTGTAATGGGGCTTGTATAATCATGAATTTGTACTTGTTAATGCACAATGTGTTAATGTATGTGATGACTCATTTACATTAGTTTATGACTGATTTACGTTCTTTTACTTTCAGATCCCTCACAAAGAATAACTGTCTATTTTACCCATTTCACAGATATTTAATGTATGTGACAACAGAGTTACATAACTTTATGTACACACACCATCTTCAGAATCTTATCACATATGTTGGGGTCTTGTAAAGGTAAAAAGAAACTTAAAACGCATACATTAGATTTCAGCAAGCTCACATGTAATAACTGTCTATTTCACACACTTCACCGAGACTTAATGTATGTGAAGACATAGTTACATCAGGTTTACATTAGTTTGTGTGCATGGAACACTTCACATCTGTGTTCTGTCCGATCTCACCACTCCCCTGTTCTTGCCCTTCGTCGTTAAATAAATATTGAAAGCAAGGATCGTTAAGAAACAAATCTGGTTCAAAAGCTGCAAAAAAACAGCACCTTTAATATAATACAATGCCTGACTATGAAGAAAAGAAAAATACACCAAATGCAGAGTGCATACAGATTATTAGCATCTGTGACAAGGACAAACCCTAGGTTCACAGAACTTTAATCTTTGTAAGACCAAAACAAAACAATATTTTTTCACTACTTCAAATGAATATAGAATGGGGTCTAAATATCAACACTTACAACTGGCATGAAAGTCATATAAAACCAGGTCTTCTTCTTCACCACCAAAATCATGTCGTTGAATTGTGTACTGGGTTGGGGCTGGATTGTGTGGGGGCTGGGTTGGGGCTGGATTGTGTACTGACTAGGGGCT